TCCTCCTCCTCCTCCTCCTTTTTTGTTTCCCCTCGTCCTCCTCCTCCTCCTCCTCCTTCTCCTCCTCCTTCTCCTCCTCCTCCTCCTCGCTCCTCCTCTTCCCCCGTGTCGCTCCGCCTCCATCTCCTTCTCATCCTTCCCCTTCCTCCTCGCTCCTCGCTCCTCGCTCCTCGCTCCTCGCTCCTCGCTCCTCGCTTCTCCTCCTTCTCCTCCTCTTCCTCCTCCTCCTCCTTTTCCTCCTCCTCCTCCTTCTCCTCCTCTTCCTTTTCCTCCTCCTCCTCCTACTCCTCTTTCTCCTCCTCCTCCTTCTCCTCCATCTCTCCCCTCTTTGCTGCTGCTGCTCCTCGACCTCCCACGTCCCCCTTCTCCTCCGTTCTCCATTTCTTCTTCCTCGTCCTCTTCATTCACCTTGTCGTCCTCCTCCTCCTCCATTCCTTCTCCTGTTTTAATAACCCGTCCCTGTCGCACCCCGAGGCGAGTTTTTAGAGCGGGCCAGACGTTTCGCCTGAGATTTCCTCACATCTATGACAGCATTTTAGAATTTTGCGACAGTTTTACAGATGGAGGGCGGGCCGTTTTCAAAATGTGACTCTCGCCTTAGCGCCGCGCACATTAGATAGATGTATTCATATTCACACACATAAGCTGCAAGAGTTTCACGGATTGAGGGCGGCCCGTTTTCATCATGTGGCTCTCGCCTTGGCGTTGCGCACACTCGTCTTAAGCATTTGCAAGAGTTTCGCGGATTGAGGGTGGCCCGTTTTCAAATTGTGGCTCTCGCTTTAGCGCCGCGCATATTCGTTTTCAACACTTGCAAGAGTTTCACGGATGGAGGGCGGTTCTTTTCAAAATGTGGCCCTCGCTTTAAAGCCGCGCACGTTCGTTTATGCTATGTGCAAGAGTTTAACGGATTCTCATGGTGAACGTACCAGAAATTGTATTTTGGACGGATTCAGGGTTATGTGGGTGCAACAATTACGTTCGTTCGCGGTGTTGAAGTCACACGACTGGCGTTCTGGCACGACTCAGGATCGCCAAGACGCAACAGTCAGGAGGATGATCCATGGCGTTGGAATCCCGAGAACAGTGTTTGGGTCTTCAAACGGTTGTCTTCCATTGAGGCAGTTCCCTCAGAACCGTTGTAGGAGCCTATCAAGAGGGAGTTTGGAGGAATGGTCTAGTCCAACATTGTTGATGACTCTGAGGCTTACACTGGTCCTCCTCCTCCTCCTCCTCGTTCTCTTCCATCTTTCTCCTCCTTCCCATTTTCTCATCCTCCTCTTTCTCCCCCTCTTCCCCCTGTTTGGAGGAGGAGGGAACAGGCAGGGCGGTAGACTAGTGGTTCTCGCTCCCGCTCGCTCTTCCCTTTCTCGCTCCTTGCTCCTCGTTTCTCGCTCCTCGATCCTCCTCCTCCTTCTCCTCCTTCTCCTCCTCCTCCTCCTCCTCCTCCCCCTCCTCCCCCTCCTCCTCCTCCTCCTCCTCCTCCTCCCCCTCCTCCTCCTCCTCCTCCTCCTCCTACTCCTCCTCCATCTCCTCCTCCATGTCTCCCCTCTCTTTGCTGCTGCTGCTCCTCGGCCTCCCGTGTCCCCCTGTTCCTTCTTCCTCCTCCTTCCTCGTCCTGTTCATTCACCTCGTCGTCGTCGTCCTCCTCCTTCCATAATATCTCTTACCTCCTTCCCCATTTTTCCTCCTCCTTCTCATCCTCCTCCTCCCTCTCCTCCTCCCTCCTCTTCCCCCTCCTAGGAGTGGGCGGGAACAGGCAGGGAGGTGGTCTAGTGGTTCGTCTGGATACTCTATGCCTTCCTTGCGCTCCCGGAGACGCTCAGTGTTGGCGAGCGTGCGCGCGGACAGACTTTTCGTCGCCGCAGGAGGAGGGATAGTGGGTGATGAATAGTTGATGACTGATGGCTGGCTGATGGATTGGTTGACGATTGTTTGAGGGTTCCGATGATGTTGATGATGACGATTACGACGATGCTGCCGATGACGATGACAATGATGACGACGAGGACGACGATGATTAACATCACCATGTCGACAACAGTAGTTCGTGGCGATCATGAAGACGACGATGACGATGACGCGGATGAAGCTCATGCGGGCGGAAGGTGATCAAGATGAAGATGATGATGTGGATGATTACGACGATGACGACGATGATGATGGTGATGATGATGATAATGATGATGATGATGATGATGATGATGATGATTCTGCTGATGACGGCGATGCTGATGATGCTGCTGATGATGATGTTGATGATGATGCGGCCGCTGCTGATGATGATGATCCTGCTGATGATGATGATGCTGATGCTGTTGCTGATGACGATGATCATACTGATGACGACGATGCTGCTGCTGATGATGATGCTGCTGAGGATGCTGGTGAGGATGCTGATGCTGTTGATGATGCTGCTGCTGATGATGGTTGTGGTGGTGGTGGTGATGGTTGTGGTGGTGGTGGTGGCACTGCTGCTGCTGATGACGATCATGACGATGATGCTGATGATGATGATGACGATGATGATGCTGATGATGATGCTGATGACGATCAGGACGATGATGCTGCTGCTGCTGATGATGCTGATGATGATGACGATGATGATGATGACGATGATGATGATGACCATGGTGAGGATCATGCTGATGCTGATGCTGATGATGATGAGGAGGAGGAGGAGCAGGAGGATGATGACGATGATGTTTGCGGTGGTGATGATGACGGCAATGACGATGACGATGACGATGACGATGCTGCTGCTGATGATGATGATGATGCTGATGCGGATGTGGATGTGGATACGGATGCTGATGCTGCTGCTTCTGCTGACGAGGATGCTGATGCTGATGATGAAGATGATGATGGTGATGGTGATGGTGATGGCGATGATGATGATGATGATGATGATGATGATGATGATGATGATGATGATGATGATGATGATGATGATGATGATGATGATGATGATGATGATGATGATGATGATGATGATGATGATGATGATGATGATGATGATGATGCTGATGATGATGATGATGATGATGAGATGATGATGATGATGATGATGATGATGATATGATGATGATGATGATGATGATGATGATGATGATGTGATGATGATGCTGATGATGCTGCTGATGATGCTGATGATGCTGATGCTGCTGCTGCTGATGATGCTGCTGCTATGCTGCTGTGCTGCTGCTGATGATGATGATGATGATGATGATGATGATGATGATGATGATGATGATGATGATGATGATGATGATGATGATGATGATGATGATGATGATGATGGGAGGAGGATGAGCAGGAGGAGAAGGAAGAGGAACAGGACCAGGAGGAGTAGGAGGAGGAGGAGTAGGAGGAGGAGGAGGAGGAGGAGGAGGAGGAATGATCATGATATTTCGGGCCTGGGGTCCTTCGGCTCCCAGGACTCGGAGCTGGTGCCCTTCTGGCCCATGGCGGAGTGGCCCTGCTGGGCCGACACGCCTTAGGTTTTTTGCTTTCTCGACCGTCCAGTCCGAAAATATAGGGGTTTTGGGAGGAGTGCGGAGGGGGAGGGAAGGAATGGGAGGATTTTAAGTTTTTTTGTTGAAAAATGGGAGCTCTCTGGGGGTCGTGTCGGGAGTGCGGATGCGGAAGGGTGGGGAGGAATGGCAGGGCCAAGGAGGTTTGCGGAATGGGGCGGGCAAAGTGCGGACGGGTGGGGTGGAAAGGGGATGATGGTTCTGGAGAGTTCGGGAAGAGGCGGATGGGGTGAGATGAGGAGGGTTCGGGAGCAATGGGATGGATGCTGAGATTATTGGAGTCCCGCAGCTGCCCCACGGTTGAATCAGTGCAGCCGTCTGCAGTCGGGTTCGTTGCACTCTATAGTCAGAAGCAAAACTTATCAGGCACAGTTCGAGCACGGACCAGGGGGTTGTGTTCCGTGCGCTCTGGGGGGGCCCAGGATGTCCTAGAAGGGCGCAAGAAGGCCAGAGCAGGTCCCGACGGGACCCCCAAGTCGAGCACGAGGTGCCAGCGACGGTTCAGTGTGGCCGTGAGACGCTGGGACGTCCCGGCAGGCACGCGGCGGGCTCGCTCCGGGACATCCGTGAACTGGGGGTCTGGGCATCCTGACACTCCGCCATTTCAGGACTGAGGACGGAGAACTCCCAGGGGATCCGAGGATGCTCCAGCTCGAGAGGCTCCTGTGCCTGCGAGGTTCCTGTTCCTGAGAGGCCACGGCCAGCCAGTCAGCTCATGTCTCTTGTGACCAGGGGAATGGCCACCCCGACTCCTGACTTTCTCCATGCAGCGATACTCCAGCTCGGGCTTCGCGGCACGGTGGCGGATACGGTGTACACAGGACGGGCCAGTGCCCCGGGGCCCCGGGGCCAGTGCCACGACCAGGGCCAGGGGCCCAGGGAGGAGCTCTCAAGGCCCCTTCGCATGCCCCCCCCCACCCCCCCTCTGGGTCCGAGCATCTTGAAACACGTAAGTTTGTTGCCAACGATTTTGTACCTCGGGAAGGCATGTCCTGGAAAGCCTGGCCATTGGGGCTCTGGGTTCCAGGCATTTGCAGCACCTGTGATCGAGAAATCAAAAGGGGGCCTGAAGACGCTTCTCTCAGAGCCTGCGGCCCGGTTGCGGACTTATTGGGCCTGCGTACACGTGGCGCGGTGTTTTTTTTTGGGGGGGGGGGAGGGGGGACATATGGCAAACAGTCATCATGTGTTTTTTTTTTGGGGGGGGGGGCCCATGAGCCCCTGCGTTCTCCGTTGGCTCTCTTGGGCCAGTCGGGACACATCGGGGGCGCCACACGACACTCCGAAGGCCCTGGAGGGTCTGCATCTGAAACACCGCGACCATATCTGGAGATCACTCAAGTCCCCTAGCATCCTTCCACAGCCTCCTGCTCCGCAGCCATTCTGGGCCAAGCAGCGTGGCTCAAGCCTTCTGGCAAACGGGTACCCTTTTTTCCGGCACCGGAGGGTTGCTGTAGCTTTGTCGCCATGGTCATCAAGACGGACTTGTGCGCGTATACAGAGTACCGCATCTACCCTGGAGGGGGCAAGAGGTTTGTCGCCAGGGACGGCAAGGTCCACTTCTTCATCAACTCTAAGGTGGCCTCCCTGCACCATCAGAGGATCAAGCCAGTCAGGCTCCGCTGGACGCAGGCGTGGCGCCGCATGAACAAGAAGGGCAAGGTCGACGAGAACCAGAAGAAGCGCACCCGCAAGGCGCAGAAGTTCCAGAAGGCCATTGTCGGCATGTCCCTGGACGACATCAAGAAGAAAAAGGCCCTGAAGCCCGAGCTGCGCCAGCAGGCCAAGGAGCAGGCGGCCAAGGAGGCGAAGGCCCGCCAGACGGCGAAGCCCAAGGCCAAGGCGGCCGCCCCGAAGGGCAAGGCCGACAGCAAGGCCCCGAAGCCCAAGGACATGAAGGCAGCCCAGAGCAAGAGCAAGGGCCCGAAGATGCCCGGCAAGAT